CCCCCTGTTCCTGTCCCTGGGCACCACTGAAAAGAGTCTGGCCCCATCCTCCTGACCCCCACCAGGTACAAACTCCCACCCCTTCTCAGCAGCTTCCTCACAGCTTGGCCGGGGGAGTGCACAGACAACTTTCTTGTTTGTTTTTTACACTTAGCAGTTTTCACTGTTATTACTATTGGTGGAAAAAAAAACACCCAAGCATAACACTTCAATACTCCAGTTTCTCTACAAAGCAGCAGTCCCCACAGCAGTGTGAGCTTCCACCTCCTCCAGAAAACTTCAGCTTGGCTCTCGGACCTCGGAAGAACAGACTGGTATGGACACCACAGAGCTGCCACTGACAACGGGCAACTGCCTGAACAGTTCCTGCAAGCAAGAGGGCTCATTTTTAGCACAAGAGGGCTCATTTTTAGCACTTCTGAACCTCTTCACTCTTACGTAGGCTCTTCAAGCCGTATTAAGCGTGTCACCTGAACAGCAATCTGAACGCTAACAGTCCCCGCTGCCCGACCCCGGGCTGAGCCAGCAAGAGGCGTGGGGAAGAGAGAAAGGCTTCTCTCCGTCTCTTAACTGTTTCATTACATTTTTCTCTTGTTACGAGGCAGATGAAGAAACGCTTTTCTTCCCTTTCACAACGGTTGCAAGTCCCTGGCCATTGGTATTCTACGGTAAAAACAACAATTATAGATTGCTACTAAAGGATTGCTGGGAATACAGATTAGACAGTATGGTGACACCGTATCCCATAAAATAGTCCAAACATCCCACTGCAACAGAGACGAAGGCTTGCTTAAAATCAGGGATGCTGCAATGATCTTGCCAAAATCATTGAGAAATGACTATGAACTTCTCCTGTTGCTGCCTGCATGTGCGATATTGGTGTATCATAGAGACAGAACGTGCCTAACTGAACATAATAACGTTCAACTTTACCTTTATGGAGGGTTAAATAGCTGAACCAAGGCAAAGAGCTTGGCCATTTTGATCGACCACGCTTTATG